CCACACTTGACATGATTATAATTTTTTCATTGGAATTTTCTATCAGTTTATCTATACATCATAAATAATTGTGGAATTGAAAAAAAAAAAAAAAAAAAAAAAAAAAAAAAAAAAAACAACAACACAACCTTACCGACGAACTTTTGTATGACAGTCAAAGTTACGATGCAAATTTCTCAGGGATAACTTCCACTTGTTAATAACGCAAATTCCAGATGAAACTTTGCTTGTCGGTAAATTTCGTTTATTAAAAATACCCTATACCGCGTGACTTAAGAAACACTTCTTCATCTGTTAGGTTGGCGGGAAATTTCTGTCGCATCGGAATGTGAAGATGGTTGGTGGGCTCGTCAGCAGTCGTAGGACGCTTGTCTCCAACTCGGACCGCAAAATATCATTATCGACAGAAGATTGATAATCTTCTTCTTTGGCAAGTCATATGTTCTCAGATGCGAACGCTTGCAACGCCACTTCCCAACGTGTTGCCGAACTTTTTACAAACTATGATATGAAGAAATCGTGATATATTAAAAATGGATAATTTTTTTTTATACAAGGATCCGCCCCGGTGTAGGATATAAAAAAATATATATATATAAAGATATAGGAACTAGTTTGAAATTCCTTACATGTCTTTCACGATATCAGCCCTTATACACAAGATCGAGGATCTAGATCTGATTGAATTCAAACTTGTGTAGTAAATAGTGAAGATTGATTGCAAAGGTAATGTGCTTTAGTTGATTCTTTCTCCCTCTCTACTATGCTTATGGGACAAAGGCGTAGTAAGGAAGGAAGTTGGGAAGGACTTGCGACAGACCCAACTTTTATTATACCGATCGGTAGATTACCTTCTGAATCAATTTAAAACTATCTGTCCGTTGTGTATGTTCGTGTGTTCGTCGCAAATTTTTGAGGCATTTTGATGCAATTTGGTAAAGCTATATATTTTGACCCAATGGAGAACGGTATTGAAAATGATTCGTATCGGATCATTTTTTCAGCTTCGTCGCATATAACGCTTTATATTGAAAGGCCGTTATATAAATAACTGCAGGGTGGTGTAGGGTATTTAATGTTAAGCTGCGAGCAGCTATACTGTTTTTATTTGTTTATATTATTTTTGATAGATTTTGAAAAAAAAAAGTTTGTTTTCTTCTACTAAAATACTGAATACTGAATGAAGAAGAGTAAGTAGCATTTTGTTTTTTTTTTTTGGTACACTTTTACCACCAAGTAGCGCAAAAATGCCTGGGGGACGGCTATGAGTGTCAAAATTCGCGATAAACGTAAAATATTAATTAAAATTAAAATAAAATCATAACGAGCTCTATCGGATGTACTGAGCTTCTAATACGATGTAAAGATTTGTTTAGGTTATATAAAGAGAGGTGGAGCCATATTTTAATAGCAAATAAAATCGCGCAAGAGATAATGAAAATGTTGCATTCAATTACTTTAGAAGATATTATCCAGATAATGTAGACATAAGAGAATTCAATTTATTCTATTGCCGACATTGGCGAAATTGTACAGAGATGTTGATTGTATAAACGAAATGAATATGTTTATAGAGGGGTGGTAGTGGATAACGCATCCCGAAAATTAAAATGTTATTCAAAGCGTAAAATGCCTTAAACGATTAATTAATTTAGGGTGTTTTCAATAAAGCCGATCGATAGCACTTGTTGTTGTTCATTGATTTTGAGTTGCTTATAAGCAAAACAAAAAAAAAATGAAAAAAAGGAAACCGATGGAACGAAAGGACACCAATAGTCATAGCATTATTAGTGTTTTGCATTTAATAGCTCAGTATATAGGCAAACATATGTGAATGCTTAATTAGCATTTAAGCGATAAATTCTAGACGTGAAATAAATTAATTAATTCATTCATTCGCTTCATGCATTCATTGCATTTTCGTGTGTATATGTAAATCTCATTTCGTGTATGTATGTATGTTTGTATTTTGTTTACTTTTTTTATTATCATTGTGGGGTTTTATTGACTTTTAGCAAAATGTTTGCTAAATAACAACAAAACTTATGACATATCAAGGCGTGGGAATGAAATTATGAACAGGCATAACACGTAGAGAGCAATTTCAAGGTCAGGAGTAGTTATTATTATTTAATATTTTCCTTTTTTGTTTACTTTGTTTTGTTTAACTCTTGTGGGCGAAATCCGTTAACATTAATGCTTATGGCCAAAATTAGAAAAGAATTGAAAGCAAAATCAAACACAATCGGCAGAAACGACAACCAAACCAACATAGACATCTAAATGGCTTACATTTATATTTTAATTTTGCAAGATTTCGAAGCACTCTTCCAAGTCATTGGGTTTATATGTTTGGGAAATGTTGAATGCAGCGCAAAAGAACAAACAAAAAAAAAAGATGATTCGATAACATTGACGTAGTCTCCGGATAAGCCTGATCGATCGATGAATACATAGGCATAGCTCAACGTGAACGGTGCACAGGCAGAAAGGGCAGGACAAGTACGTACGAAATGTAGCTCAACTATTGCTTACTAAGACCTGGTTAAAATTTAATGGGTAAGAAAATTATTTTCGGGCGCGAGCGAGTTTTTTGCACCCGTCACGGCTTAATACTGACCAATAATACGCAGACTTCCTACTGGATGTTGCAAACGTTTTGATAGAGGAATTAAATTTTTATATTTTATAACATTAAGTAGGCGTGGCCGACTTTTTCATTTTTATACAAGTGCTGCAGGACCACACAAAGAGCATATAAATGCCAATTTTTATCATTCTATCGGTTGTGGTTTATAAGCAAAGAACAAAAAACCAAATCTGAGGTTATGTTGTATTGTGATCGTGTCCTGTAACCGATTTGGTTTAAATCCAATAACAACTTGCGTGCAAGAATTGCCAATCCTTGTGCCAGATTTGAAACTGATTGCTGCACTTTCGTAACATGTGGTATGTGCATCGCAAACATTACACAGACAGACAGACAGAGGAACAGAGGCACACGCTTAAATGGGTTTGGACTGTGATACTAATCAAGAATATAAGTATTTAATGGTATCTCTCAGACTTCCTTTCCGATGTTGCAAAGGTTTTGACAAAACGAATATACTTCTTATCCTACGGTGATGGGTATCAAAAACTTTTTTACACGATTGCATAATTCGAGCTTACAAACTTATTCACAAAATGGTTACTTTAATGGAATACAAAAATTATTCGCATTAAACATCTTACATACCTACATTCTTGCTAAAGTTTATAACAGATACTTGAAGGCTGAACACTAAGATAACATGTCAACCAATTTTCGATAGAACTTTAGGGATTGGCCGATCATTCTTTTCAAATATTTTATAAAAAGATTTTAGTCAACAAAATCCTGATATAAATTTAAAGGTAAACTTTCTGAATAACTTTTTGTTTTCAATTTAAAAAAGAACAAGTAAAAGGATTATGGTCGCCTACGGTCGGTTATTAAATACCAAAAACCACTTCGCTTATAGCGATTCTGTAAACTAAGCCGTTACATGGGAAGTAGTGGAGAAAATTTGATCCGATTACGAACCATATTTAATAGCTTTCGTCTTTGGGTCAAACATGCCTGTGTATCAAATTTCATCATAATATCTCCAAAAATTGTGGCCTATAGGTTGAACAAAAGAATACAAGACGGACCGACGGACAGACAAACTTAGGAGAGAGAAAATGATTCTAAATATGAGATGAATGTCGTTTAGATCCCAACAAACTTAATAAATAGGATATATAAGTGGGATGCAGGGTGTGATAATAATATTCTAAAAATTCATCTTAGTAATTGATTCACATTCTGCTGAAATCATTTCCCTAACGAAATACAGGTTTATTTATATCGAATTATTAAAAATTCTTATCATCTAAATATTAATTTCGTTTCAAATCTGAATAAAAACAAAACAACAAATCGACCGATATACGAATGCGTTAAATAAATCCATAGTAGTAGACATATACCGACATAAAAAAAAAAAAAAAAATGCTGAAATTTCTCGTATTGACTTTGCCTTTAATAATAAGTAAATTTTCTTATATAGCTTAACTAGACTATTGCCAAATAGTAAATAACATTAAGACATGCTTTGCATGGCACAACAAAAATAAACAAGTTACACAAGGTGTTAACCGCACAATGAAATGCACAAAAGTCAACAGCAGCATCGAGCACGGAGCGTATATTACACAAGTTATAATAATAAAAGTGAAGACAAAAATAGAAAATAACAAAAAAAAAAAACAAGAAAAACTAAAAATCAAATATCACAGTAAAAGAGAGTAAAATGTAATAAAAAAAAAAAAAAAAGAAAAAAAGTCAAACCAAAAATCATATGAAATGAAAAATTTCACGAATTCATTGCGAAGATGCAGTAAAATTGCATAAAGACAAATCATTGGTTATATAACCATTAACAGCATCATCATCATCATCATCGGCATCGTCATCGTCAACGTCCCAGCTTAACGCGAACTGAATAATATGCTGCTGATGTTGTTTGTGGATAAAGGAATTTTTAACGGTGCCAGCAGAGTGTCTTCGCAAGCGAGTGCAGAGTGAGATTCGCGATACACTGCAATTACAATTAACGTAATCAACTTGCAGACACACACACACACACGCACACATCGAGCGCATATAAGACATTTTTCACGAGGCATGAAATCGCTCAGTAACGAGACGAAACAACAGCTCCGCTAAAGCAAGCAAGACGCAATCATTTTCAACGTTACACATGAAGAAGATGCAAAAAAAAAAAAAAAAAAAAAAAAAAAAAAAAAAAAAAACTGAATAAAGAAAAAGAAACTTCACACGCGTTCAATGAACTGAAATTTTTATTTGCGGACTTTTCGGGTAAATAAGGAAATATTACCTGTTTTTTGCTTTTTTTTTTGCTTTTTCCGTTTAGTAATTTAACTTTCTTTTAAACGCAAATTCCTTTGCGGTCATTTTTCGTAGTAAAACTTACCTTATAAACGCCGTCAACGAGTTTAGTGATTTCTTCAGACTCCATGTTTAAGCTTTCAAGCGCTTCGCTTATGATATGCTGCCAGAATGCGTATGTTGCAAGATGTGTCTTTTTCTTTTTTTATTTATATATGTATGTGTTTTTGTATATTTTAAACAATAATCTCCTTTTATGATGACGGCAAGTGGTTTTTTTTTGTTTTTGTTTTTGATTTTTTTTTTTGTTTTTTCTTTTTGGTTTTGTTTTTGTGTTTTACCACAAATTCACTTTCAGTGACACAGGCGAGTTTTTGTTTTCCTTAGATGACGCGCGCGCTTTGGAATCGTTTCACTTTCTAAAGTTTTATATCTTGGGCTTCGCATTTGCTTGGCCAAGCATAACATAATAACAACGAACAATAACTAGTAACCGGACCTCGCTTAACTTGTGTTTTTACACTTGTTTGTGCTTCCTGTGGTGGTTGTTAACCGTTGCTTATACCGTTATCGACCGTCGACCGTAAGGGTTACACAAATACAACATCGAAATTCTCTTTCTTTCTCTTGCTCTTGATATAACTGCTGTTACTGATGCTGCTTCGCCTTCTGTAAGCAACCAGTTTTTCTAGCTTTCTTTCTTTCTGATTTTCCTTCAACTTGACACTTTTTTTTTTTTTATTTTCGTTTTGCAATCTATTGTTGTTATCTGTTGTCACTGGCAGCTACCGCAATTAGAAGTAGATGTCACACACACACACACA